TTCAGTGATAAATCTAGTTTGAGCCTCGTTAATTTTACCACTATCTCCGATCTTGACGGCCTTTTCCAGATTTTCTATCGACTCATTTAGCTTGTTCAGAATTTTCTCATACATGGGCGCCTTGTCCGGATCAGTGTTGTCTTTTTGGCGACTGCGATTTTTGGACATTTTATTTTCGCTCTAGCGTGCCTCACGATAACTGAATAAATATTAAAAAATTATCAAATTGTAGCTTGTGCCTGTCTTCACACTTTTTATTTGAAACTTTTTTTGAAAAAATGCCGCTGTCGGCCATAATGGCCATTTCTCCTGAAACTGTATAAATTTACGATTTTAACCATTTTCATCAGCCGATTTGGACTCACAATAATGAATAAAAAAAACTTTAATACCACTCATATTGTTGTGTGGCCTATTTCGAACACTTTTTATTTGAAACGTTTTTTGAAAAAATGCCGCTGTCGGCCAGAAATGAATTTTTTTGGGAAACTGTACAAATTTAAGATTCTAACCATTTTTATCAGCCCATTTGGGCTAACGAGAATAAATGAAAATTTTCCAATACTAGTCATATTGTGGTGTTTCCTATTTGGAACACTTTTTATTTGAAACTTTTTTTTGAAAAATGCCGCTCTCGCTGCTTAAATTTATGATTCTGACGATTTTTCTCGGCAGATTTCGCCTAACGAGAATTATTCAAAAATTTACAATCTTCTCATATTGTAGTGTTTCCTATTTCGAACATTTTTTACGTCAAATATTTTTTGAAAAAATGCCGTTTTTTTGCCAATATCCAGAAGATGCCCGGATAGGCCCGGTCCTTGAAGCGCATAAATTAATATACAGACAGATCTTCTCTGCCATCTGGCCGTCTAACAAATTTTATTACCTCGAATCCGGTTTGACGGCCATTTGCACCAGTCTTCCTTAAAACCTATTCTTAGCTAGGGATAACTTTGGATTAAGGTTAACCCTAACTACAGACAGCTTTGCAAGGCAGTCTGCTGTGCCAAAAGTGACAAATTGGCTTTTGCTCCCGCCTTTTCTTTCCAAAATCACCTTTATCTTAGAACTGAATGCAAGGTTGCCGCTACTGTTTACGTCTCAAATATAATTCATTCATAATATATTATTAAAGATAGAGTCATTTGAAAATAAAAAAAAAGGGAAAAACCTTAGACTCCCAGTTGGAAGCGAACAATGCTATGTTATGAAGAGGAAATTCAAAACATTTTAGTCAAAAGAGGGCAGGACAAAATCATGTTCGAGTTTCAGTAGGAAAAGTTAAAATTGGAATACTTAAAAAAGACTTAAGCAAATAATGCTACTTTCTATTTGTTTTAGTGGTGCATTATAAGTTATTTCAATTTAATAATAAACAAAAAACGTGAATGTAAAATTTCGATTTTTGAATTAAAATTTCATATGGGGTAAAGGTCGATTTTTTTTTAATTATCAACTTTTTCAAAATGCCCCAAATTCTACATGATTTTAATTGAACGGAAACGAATAATCAAGAAGAAGAAGAAAAATTAAAATTTTGCAATCGAGTTTTTTGCCCTTATTGGAATGTTTCCGACCTAAGAAGTTGAAGTTGCCCAATCGCGGACATGCAAGTTGTGGGTCGAAAATAAGGAAGATATTGTCCGTTGAAGATTGCGACCACTCTAAAACCGTTCAAAATAGACAGAAAATGATG